ATAAACGTTCGTAAGATTGTAAGTTTGATCCGCAGCGTGGGTGCTAACACACTTTCTGTAGAAAAGAGCTCTGCCTTATTTCGGAAAAGTATATTTAAGGAGGTTGGATCCCGCCATTAAAAGTAATGAGAATTTTTTATCAAGTATATTTTTAGAATTTATACACATAGCTTTATTAAAAATCAAAACAAAAAATGGTGGTCAATGCGCTTCTTTTGGCGCTACAGAACATTTAGTTTGACCTTTTTGCACTGTAAATACGTCTTACACATAAATCAGTTTTTAAAGTTTTTCCTTTTCAGTCTTATTTCATCTTAAATGGACACATTAAAATTTGTAACAAGGAAGAAATTTTCGAATAACTCCGCATGTTCAATTATTTGACCTTTCTGCACTCAAACATTTTCATTTTTCTGGCATTAAAATTTAACAAGCAAAAAAATCATTCGAAAGTAATGACATTTTACTGACGTTAAGAAGAATGGTTAAAAGTATCGTATATATTCAGAAAAGAAAGTTAAAAGTGGGGGTCTGTGATGTTAATTTTTAGATATTACTAAAATAGTGCTAATTTTAAGCTTAAATTAGGGCTATTTTTTTCTTCATTTCCACAATATATTTGCTATATTTATCAAATATGATGATAGAATTCATGACAGTTTATTTAATAGATAATTTAGGACCAGTATAAAACAGTCCACTGCACAAAATAACTATGTGTGCAGTGGACATGTAAATATAGGAATCCAAACTTAACATACTTTAAATACTTCGAAAGAGAAAAAATGATCATTTTCTTCTAAAAAACCTTCCGCCAGAAAATATCGTTCCTCACTTAATGCTTTTGGTATGGAATTTAATCATGGAGTTTCAACTGAATATAGTTAAATTGGCATTGTAGAATCCAAATTTATTGTAAGAATTAAAACATTATGCAGAATTTTTGAAATATAGGTTAAGATAAGAATCTGCTCAAAAGCTCAGGAGCGAACCTCGTTAAGCGATATGAATCGTTTTTTTTAAGGATATAAAACCTTAGAGCACTATGCAGAAATAGTGATTATACACAGACATGCTGACAGCATAATAATCAATATTTATTTCATGATGGATATTAAGATAAACGTCTGATTAAAAATAAGTTACTAAACTCCCTCTTTTCAATTTTCTCGTTTAAAGTCAGTATTCTTTAATTTCTATGTTCGTTTAAATGACCTTGTTAGCAAATATAACATATCATTGGGTCTTTTTTGTTTTTGGCTGGTTTCATACTAATTGTTAGGCCTTTCTTTTTGACGTTGCCTTATGCGACGTCATGAACAAGAATTGAACGTCATGTTTTAAAATAAATACAGCTTGTATATTTCATTTTGTACGGTTCTTAAATCTCATTTTCATAAATGTACATCTCGATGTATTGGTATACATGTGATAGCATACCATGCTTAGTAAATTATTTTTCATAATTAAAGACAAATATTTAAATCAGTTGGTATGGTTAGCTTTGAAAATTTTTGAATCATAAGGGAAAAAGGGGTGTACATGTGCTGTACATTCTTAGCGGATTTCTTACTTTCCGCGCCCTGCATTGGCAGAAGCAAAGTTATTTGCTTTGTTTGTTAACTTGACGAACCGTAATTGCCAAGCTTTGTAAAAAAAGACTTAAAGGACCGTTAAACTTTTTCTTGGATTTTGATTTCAGGTGTTTAAGAAAATGATTTTGTGTGCAATACTATGTCAGTATGGCTCGCAAAACTTTGGTCTTCCTGCTTATCTGCATTATATTTTCAAAAAAAAAAAAAAAAGAAACAAAAAACAAACAAACAAACAAACAAACAAACAAAAAAAAAACAACAACAACAAAACAAAAACAAAACAAAACAACAACAAGAAAACCAGTTTACTTCTCCGCAAGTACATGACATTGCTTTTCTGTTGCTTGATTTACATAAGTTTACCTGTGTCTACATGTTATAATATTTTATTTGCGCTGTCCAGAGGCAGTGCCCATCATTGAAAAAACGAAATGCATGCGAACCTTCGTTTTTATATTTTTTCTTTCAGCAGTTTCGGAAACATTCAGTTATCAGCTATTAATTTATCATTTTTTTCAAAATTGCAGCTTGTTCCGACACATGAATATACAGTATTAGGATCTACGGGTTATTGAACAGACAGCATGTTTTAACGATGTTTTATACATGTGGTGGGTGTAAGGAGGGGTCCGTATACCTCCTTCCTCCTGCGGATCCCTTTCTGCTTCCTCTAAGTAATCGATACCTTTGTGATGACAATCTATGCAAGCATGTGTATTAAGGAAGCTCTAAACACCAAGGAAAAACATTTTTTTAGACTTTGAGAACATTTTATCGTATAAAGGTGTACATTACGAGCTAATCTAGTTCATTTCCAGGATAAAGTGCCTGCCTTATTACCAAACGAAAATTGTTCAAAGACAGTCGAGTGTTAGTGAACATAAACCACTGTTGTTTACTTACATTGGTAATCAATATGTAAATACTGTATTCAATTACTTTATCTTGGTCTAATATATAAAATTAAGAATACCTTAATTTAATATGTGAACCTAAGTTAACCCTTGAAAGTAGATGACCCTTTGTTCATAACAAACAGAATGCAATATTAATTTTATTTTGTCATTCGGCGGAAAGGAAGCAGACAGTATAGTTAATACTTTTTACATTTTTATGGGGGGGGGGGGTCTTTTTAATGAGAACTTTGATCACATGAAATATCTATAATTCCTGTATCACATATTTAGTAGGCGTAGAAATAAAAGCAAAATACTTCTACATTCATTCTACTGATAATTAATTACACATGTAAGTTTATATTTTCAAGATGACCAAAATTAAAAAAAGTTAAAAAAAAAGGTTGACGTGGGAAAAGTATCCATTTGTTCATCATGGTAATGAAATTTCAAGTAAAACTTTACCATTTACCCATGTAGGGGGTTAGGTTTAGATTTTTTCGACATTAAGTCCGATGCTTATACATGTACATTATATATGCATTTATTAATCATTTTCTATGTTCTATGACACCCTGTTATATTTTATTTAAATTTAACCCTCCAGTTGAAACAATTGACAATAGTAAAATCGGCTATATATTCTCTACGATTACTGCATTACATCTAAGAGCCCCGTTCAAAAATATTTCACTTATACACAGATATCAGTGGATATATACTGTACGTATCATTTCTTAGCAAAGATTACTTTAATTTTTGCATGTGCGCGCAGATTTTTTGGATATTGATACAGATTTGAGAAGGAGCACAAGCAAACTATCTAATTATTGACAATCAAAAGAAAACTCTTTTTATCCTCTGCCATTCGTTACTTCTATATTATGTTTCTTTCTACCATTCCTATAGATCTGTCGATCTATAGTAATATAAAGAATATAAGAGGAGCAATTGGACCTGATTCCCTCCCATCCGATATCATCACTCATGTAGTAATTTATAACCCCCCCCCCCCATTTCATTGTTTTCTTTTTTTACATGATGTAAATATTACAGCCAATCTTTATCTAATCCCTACTAAGTACATAAAATGCTATATATTACCCCTTTTTATGACCATCTCGAGAAATGATGTGACCAAAATACACTTCTGTGATGTACATTATGGCTTTACGTGTAATTTTTATGGAACTCTTCAAAAAAGGTAACTGAAGTCATTGATAAAACGTATATGACAATCTACATTATGTTCGGAACTATCACATTGCACATATTTTATACTGAGAGGCGCATTGTTAAATCTATTGTGATATTTTGCCAATTTGTCTTCTATCTTGGAAACTTAGCCTCTAATTTTCACTATAATAGCTCAAAAATTCATGTCCATGTACATGTAAATAGTCCATTTTCCCAACAGGCCAAATAGATCGGCGAAACCATTGTGACGTCAATTTTCAAAAATTTCAAAAAATGACGTATAGATTGTTTGATAAGGGTCAGCTTGACATGATTATGGGTTATAAACTAGATGTAAAATAACATTTATACGACAAGTGTAAATACTGCATTTTTTCTGAACTGCTACTTTTTTCAACCACCTAACGTCCAGATATAGTCTAACTCGGACCACTGTCGCTTAGTTAGGGGGCGCGGAAGTAGGATGCTATATATAAATATACTAATATAGGCCCAATATATCTGAATTCGAACAACGAGTAAAGAATTAATACAGACCAGAGCTTCATAATATTGATGTGATGATTTTATCCTTTATATTAAAGGATTTTTTTAGCGATTGTGGCGAGGTATATTCTCAATATTATTTAGCTCTAGCAAAACACCGTCTAATGCATATGTATTGCATGCTGTAAAATGAACACATTTTTAAAAATAAACATAGTCCGCACATTCTTAAAAATAAACGTAGTCTGCACAATATCACCATCATAATTTATTGTGTATAAAATGCTTTCGAATCGATGTTTCATTTGTGAAATTTTCAAAGTGGTGATATAATGCGGACCTATCGAAAAATGCTTTTAAGTCCCTGATTTTTAACAATTTTTCCGGAAATACGCATTCCGTGCATATTTGACCACGAATAAATAGCATACAGGGGACACATTCTCAAAGTTTGGGTTAATTTTTTTAACAAGCATATATCCAACCTTTATTTTCAATGTAAAGTTTTGATTCAGCGTAAACTTTAATTTTTAGAAATTCTCAGGGCCAATTATTATATCAAATGAACCTTGTCCTTTAGACATATACTCGGTACTTACTGCCTTTGAGCAGTGAATGAACTTTTTTGTGCCAGCACCTACTGCGATACTGGACTTCGGTTTATATGGTCACATTCGAAGGATCGGTCTCACAGTGGATTCGAACCCGCGACGTAAGGATCAACTCGCGGGCGACGGTCATTTTTTGATAATTGTTATAGAATAATTCTGAGTCATTGTCTCAAAGTCTGACTCAGGTTTCAGTCCTTTCCCGCCCGTCTGCGAACATGCCTCTCTGTTCCAATGGACTGGGTACAAATTCAATAGGTTATCTATTTTTGTTTAAGAATTTGCTTAAAAATGACATTAATTCAAGGAAGATATTAGACTGTATTTCTTATTCTGCATATGACGTATTACTTGCTACAGACATAAGGCAAAGTCATGTCAAACTAGTAATCAATGTATGAGATTTAAATTGAAAAAATCTAAATTTTTGTACAGGACAGTATCTTCTGTTACCCCCCCCCCCCCCTCCCCTTTGCGAGGGTACATGTATAAAAAAGAAATTGAGCATAAATACGTAAAATGAGTGGAGTGTGGAATGACATAACAGTAGAGAGAAGCATCTTCAGTGAGTAACGGAATCAACGCTTCAATCTTTACTTTATAGGGAATCAGGGATGTTTTCTTGCATGATGGATTTACACAAATACCCGCTAGATAAGCAGATCTGCGACATACGTCTGGAAAGCTGTGAGTTTCTCTATTTCATTGTAATAATTCTTTTCCGAAGTTGATATAATGTTGCTTTCGAATCCGAAAAATATTAATATTCAATTTACAAGTTAACTGTACAGATCAATTTGCATTTAATTAAAGTTGTGGATAGAGAAGTTATGTATATTTTTAATGCTTTTGTGGCAATCGAGAGCATAGTCTATTTAAGGTGTAATCGGTACATGTATTTCATTTTCAAAGCCTGGAAATATCATGTTTCCCTAAACATGATGACATTTCTTCAGTCTTGCTCTTTTTGAACTAATTCATTGAAAAGATAATAAATGAATTGTGAAATTTTGAAACGTATTGGCCTTTTAAAGATATGTTTTTTTTTTTGTTTTTTTTTTTTTTTTTTTTTTAGAAAACAAATATTCATTCTATTGTCATAGCAAGCATTTCATTGTTGCGATTAAGATGCTTACAAATTACAAAATTTCTACTGTTTTCTATACATTTAGACAGGTAACGTTATATTTACGAAGACTTTGAAGTTTTAGATTACATTTATACCTGTCGTTGGTATAACAAGAAATGATTAAAATAAAGTAAATCTGAAACAAAGTATAACACTTTACTGTTTTCATTCTCCTTCCATGAATACTATACTATTTTATCACATACATTCTGCAGTTATACTGTATATTCCATGTATAATGCAGAGTTTATTATATCCAAAAAGCTGTCAGAAAGTATAGTGCAAATTATTAAATCACGCATAACATATACACGTGAACACGCTGCAAATGAATTTGTACAGTTTCTATACTTGTTTGATAAACGTATTTAAGCAATATTGATTGTATCTATTAAATGCATGCACTATTTTCCCCCTTCAGATGGACACAGCGCAGCCACACTGATTGTTAGGTGGCGGGAATCTCCAGCAGAGATCTCTAAATCCCTGCGCCTTCCGCAGTTTGACATCAATCTGCTTAGATCCTTCCATTGTGATCAGCAGTATATGGGAAGTAAGTAAATAAATAAAAATAAATACATTACATTACATAAACAAAAATTTTGATGAATTGATTTTTCAGTAGACATCGATATGTACTAATACTGTCTAATAAGCTATTGCAACATTATACATGATGTATATCATAAGTAGATTCAGTAATTGTAAGCACAATGCTTTTACTCAAAATAAAAAAAAAAAATAGAAAAAGAAAATGTCAATGGAAACACGTGTAATGGTGTGAATCTTCTTCGTTGATAAACATCTCTTTAGGCCTAGGATGCAAACTATCTGTTTCAACTATAATTAAAAGATATTAAATATTTTATAACTTCATTTCATTGCCGTGTAGCAGACATGAGATTCATAATTATATAGATCATATAAAGAGCTGTGGATAAACAATATAAGAAAAAATTAGATTTTTCATTTTATTTGCCGGTGTTGTTTGTTTGTTTTATTTTTTGTTTTGTTTTGTTTTTTTTTTTTGCCTGTCATAATTTTTTCCGGCTAGCTCCACAACTTTAAAGAACAATTCATGAATATTACGTGCCTGATTTTGTTATTTCATATCTAAATGTTCTTTTCCTGTAGTAAACTACACCTGTATCGGGCTGGACATACACCTAATGAGAAACATAGGATACTACTTGACACAGACCTACATCCCGTGTATATTAGTCGTAATCCTCTCCTGGGTTAACTTCTGGCTCAGCGTCGACGCGGTACCCGCCCGAATTTCCTTAGGTCTCCTTACGGTTCTCACGATGACGACACAGAGTTCCGCTGCCGTTAGAGGCCTGACAGTTGTGTCATATGTCAAGGCCATGGATGTGTGGGTCTTTGCTTGTTTATTTTTTGTTTTTGCCGGACTTTTGGAGTTTGCTTGGGTCAATGTATCAAATAGAGTAGAAAGTCGACGGAAGTCCATAACAGATTTACCGGCCCTGGTGAACGGAAAGGTATCAGTGGATTGCTTTAGAGAAATGATTTACAATTCTCAGTCAGAAACATTTTATAAAGCACTTTATGAGATTTACACATTGCATTTATATGAATAATTTATATAAATTGCATAAATTGAAAAAAAAAGAAAAAAAAGAAAGAGATATCTTTGTCAGTGTGCATTGAAAAATATCTTACATTTTCTTTCCAGAGTTCTCCAACAAAGGAGTCTCCGAAACATAGAGACGGGTTTTTCTTTAAACCATCGAAAAACCGAGAAAAGGCCAGAAACATTGACCGAGTCTCTCGTTTTTTGTTCCCCATAGCATTCATTTTGTTCAATGCTGCGTACTGGTCTATTTACCTAGTTCTCTGGGAGCCCGTCCAGGACAAGCACGAGGATAGCGAAGGAATCACCATTCCAGTAAACCTTAACGACTCATGATGACGTCATGTAATGACGTCATGTGACGTCGTAAAAGCTTAATTTGATTGTGTTCACAAAAGATTTTTTCAAAATAGTTTTCCATTTTTGTGTTCATGGATGATTTTCTTGGAGATGAGGAAATCCAGCACCTTTTTCATGATTTTGGATCACTCGTTATTTCATTATTTATTATAATATTAAATCCTTTTGAGGTTTTCAACATCAGCCGGGAATCGTGACCTCTTGCCAGCGTACTGCTATATATGCAGATATACCACGACGTACTGCCAGTCTTTATGACAGTGTATTTACTAGATATAATCAAAAAATGTACAGAATTATGAAAATACAACCTAGTAAATGCAAATGGTACTTATAATAACTAATAACTTCATGGGTACGTTGATTTCATCATGGAATGTCGGTTTTGAAGATGACATTTGCGTTATCTTATTAAGACTGCATATCAATGTTGTAAAATTAAACAAACTACAAAGATGCAAGAATAACATTTTGAACAGGTCTCTTCAAACAGAATGAAAAATTAATAATGAATATATCAACTTCCATTCTATATTAGGAGATTTCCCATTCAAGATTTAGGTTGCGTTTTAAAGCAAAAGCCACGATAGCTAACTAGAATGTAAAATCTGTGCATACCGTTAATCTGTTTATTTTGATTTTATTATACCAATCAAGCACCTTTTCCTAAATAATATCACTATTTTAAGTGAGTATATAAATGTGATTCAGGGTACCTCAAACGACTAATTTATTTACCATATACCATAAAATCATGTATAAAAGTTAAGGTTTGTTATCTTCTTACATGTAACATTTACAGTTAACATTCAAAATCTCTAAATGAAAATAATGTAGAATGCCTAGGTACGTTAACGTTTAAAATTGCTAGTTAGTTTGGTTTTACTATCACTCAAAGCTTTTTATCAGCCTCGCCGAGATTTCAAGAGTTTTGCCTTCTTTGCTTTTTTAAATTGAAATCTGAAGTAAATAATTACGGCGAATCAATTTTCAAAATGAAAGTAAATAAACACTACATGTTTCCTTAACGGAAAATTAATGCTGTGCACAAAAATGGCGTAATTTGTGGCTAAATAGGAATTTTATTTACGAAAGAAAGAAATATTAAGAGGATATACTAGTAAACGTACTACTTATTTTCGAAGGGACTCTGAATATAGAATTCACTCGGAGAATTATTTATTATCCAATTCCTCTGTATATTATACATTTTGAAATCAACAAAAATCATCGGAAAAAATACAAGAAAACAGGCATATGTATAGAGAAAAAAAATGATTATTCAACCTTTTTAAACAGAAATCGATGACGGGAAAGTATTCAATTGCATAATCAAAGTTTCCTTTCATAATCATTCTACACATACCGGATGTTCAAAATCGACTTACTTTGATCAATTGAGGCTGCAACATCCCTTAAAATATTTTTGTATTGTGGGAATAAATTGATGCTACATTGCATTATTTTATAAATTTCATAGATTTTAAAGAGTCAGTCGTTCCTTTTTATGCCCCGGTTCCGTCATTCTGTCATCATGACCATCATTCTGTCATCATTGACATTCTGTTCATTATCTCGGCAATAGTTGTACACATTCAATTCAAATTTGACCTATGGATACGTCATAGGAATACGCAGGTCAAGTTTGAATTTGGTTATAGTTTTATGATTTTTGACTCAGTTATCCCTCTTGAAATTAAAAAAAATACAAAAAAAAAAATTAAGTTTCCCGTATCTAACTTTGTAGAGATGTATTTATAAGGTATAAGGTTAAAAATGCATTTGCAGGTACTTTACTAAAAATTATAGGTCAAGTTCGAATTTGGTTGTGGTCCGATGATTTTTGACAGAGTTATCATTCTTGAAGTAAGAAATATATATATATATATATATATATATATATATATATATATATATATATATATATATATATATATATATATATATATATATATATATATATATATATATATATATGTATGTATATATATACAGTTTCCGCTCTCTAACTTTTGTAGATATGTATGTATATGGTTGAAGATCCATATGCAGGTATTTAACCAGAAAAATCAGGTTAAGTTGTTTGAATTTGGTCGTGGTCCGATGATTTTTGACACAGTTATCCCTCTTGAACTTAGAAAAAATGAGAAATTTTCAAATTCCTCCTTATAACTTTTATAGGAATGTTTGTATAAGGTTGGAAATGCATATGCAGGTATATTTATCCGCAAATACAGGTCAAGTTCGAATTTAGTCATGATCCGATGATTTTTGTCCCCCTTGAACTTAAAAAATATTTAAGAATTCACAATTTCTAATCGTTATCTTGATTTCAAATGTGCAAATTTGAAATATTTGCTGCCTGCGAAGATATTCGTGGATTACGATACATGTAGCTGGCATATATCTTTATTTATTTACGAAATTGGTTAAAAAGTGTCAGTTGTTAAGTAAAAAATCACAGGATACGGATCCGATCAAACTTATAAAGCTTAAATGATATTATTCAAAGTAAAGAAGGGACGATCCTCTGACAACAGATAACTTTCATGCATACCGGATACAGTTTGTCTTTCCGGTGTTTAGAAAAGGAGACCGTCATACAGTGGCTGCAACGTTATTGTTGACAACTTACACGAACGATCACGTTACACGAACGATTCCGCACGATTAACGCACGATAAAATCTGTTACACGAACGATCCTTCACGCACACGATTCTACACGTTACACGATCTTACACGATTGCTAACGCAAACGCACGATTCTTCACGCAAAATAGTTCAAATTCTTTAGGAATGGATATTTTCAAAACGAAAGAAGGCTTAATACTTATTTTAAATTTCAAATAATTATTGATATTATTTCATCGACTTTAGAAATGAAAAAAAAAAAAAAAAAAATAGAAATGGATATTTCTGGAACTAAATACATGAAAGATTTATTAATTATGTTAGATTACAAATGATTATTTACGTACAGTACCGACCGGACACAACCTAACACTAGAGCGAACCCAAAGCGCACCCCGGGTTCGCTTCCTGGGTTCGCTCGGGGTCCGCTGCGGGTTCGCTTTCAGAAAATTTAGGACCGCTCTGGGTGCGCTTCGGGTTCGCTCTGCGTTCGCTCGGGGTCAGCTCTGGGTCCGCTAGAGCGAACCCGGCGTTCGCTTTCTGGGTTCGCTTTACGCACTCATGCGTGAAGCGGACCCCGCTTTAATCTTGCCGCCAGTAAGCCCCGCCCCTTGTATATTCCAAATATAGTAGTGAAATCGATCATCACTGTTTTTATGGCGATCGAAACATGTACATGTAAGTGACAATATGGAGAACGTTGATAATTTTTCAAGAATTCCACCGTACATTCGACGTAGAATTATCATTTTTATTTTTCTTAACTTACAAGCTAAGTATATCTCGAAAGAAAAAAAAGAAAAGGTGTTAAATTTATTTTCGATGTATCGGATGGAGTGAAATTGATAAGAGTATCTTAATAAAAAAAAGCTTTCAAATTCATTTGTTTATATTATTCATGCGTTTTTAAATAAGTTGGAACTTCCAATTGTAATTGCAATTGCTAAATCGTAATTTAAATGTTTGAAAGACAAACAACTGAATTACGATCTTATCTATAAAATAGCTGTGACATACTGTACACGTAAAATGCTAAGTTTTCATATTTAGCAGTTTATATTTAAGCTAGGTTGTCGTCCATTACATGTATATGTAGGTCGTGATAGTCACTAAAAATTCTCATACAGTGTAACTTGAGTTTCGTTTTACAGATCATTTATAATTTACTTCCATGCTATAAATCATTGTTTTATAAGGCGAGTTTAACTGAAGACTTATAAAAAAAAAAAAAAAACAACAACAACAACAATAAAAAAAAAAAACAAAACAAACAAACAAAAACTAATAACTGGTCCACTGATAAGAATATATTACTTTTTTTAAGTTGTTTTCAAATACATGTAAATGATCACTTGAATAGTTTGTGTTCCTTACTGGTTCATGACCCCCCCCCCCCCCCCCCCCCCCGCCTAACTACATACATGTACATACTGGAGCGGCATGTTAACAAACAAAATTCTAAATGCTTAAAAATAAATAAATACAAGAAAGAAAACAAACAAAACAAGAATTCAATAACTGTAAACTCGCATGATTAAGTAGATGAAATTAAGATAACAACGCCCGCGGTTTGTTTTTTTTGTTTTGTTTTTTTTTTTTTTTATTGTTTTATTTCGATGAGCCTCCCATCCCTTGAATTTCGCATTTATAACGTGCCCAGACGAGGTACATGTAACTTAAGGGGCATCGAATGTAGGGGGGAGTATATACTCAGGTACACCGTGACCATGGAGACAGTATAAATCCAGCTAGCAAGTGTCAATTTAAAAAAAACCCACCGCAATTGCTCTTAATACCCGCAATATTTTCGAAACAGGTGAATGATTACCGATACGTGATGACCTTGGCTTCACTTTGAAACTACAATTATTAAAGTGTTGAAATTAAATAATTATGACAATTACAAAGTTTAAGGTATCTTTGCAAGTTCAATTTACTAATGTTGGAATTACGTGTACTTTTCATGCACAAGTACAAAACGTACCCGTCTAGTATATTTTTATGTTCATATAAAGTATTTCGAAAATTACATGTAGAACATGTAAGAGGTTCATGAATATGTAAACCTGTATAATTATATATATCGACGCGAAGGAAAGTGATAAGCATTTTCGCGTTTTTTTTTTTTTTTTTTTTTTTTTTTTTTTTTTTTTTTTGACTGACTTGCAAGTAGTTACAAAATTTCAAAAACATACAATGTAAGGTCTACATGTAGGATAATTAAAATTGACAAAATAATCTTTCCCTATATACATGTATTTAAATCAAGCTATTTATCAAATTTTGGTAAAAGATTAATTAAAAAAAATATCATAGTAGCTAAATGAGATTTTCTTTCTCCAATTTACGTATTGACATAATGCACACTTATCCTGTACAATGTACGTTTAATTTTTTTTGTGATCAATTATTAAGATCGATAATTTCGAAGTTGATCTGGATAAATTAAAACGTGCATGTAAATTGAAATAATGAATAAAAAATAATTAAATTAAAGTACGTACATGTTCTTATACTGTATCTTGAGATAACAAAATTCTATAATTTATCGTAGACCATTTTTTTTAAAGTAACATATGTTATAACCATTATTATCTTCTTTTTTTCTATTATAAATTAAAGTACTTATTGTCTGATAAGTTTACGCAATGTATATTTATATATTAATGGATTATAAAAATATAAAGAAAATGAATATTTAACTATACATGTAATATGCTACCTGGATAATAAAAATATATAATGTATCAATAGATTTTAAAAATAAAAAATAATGAAAATAGATGTGTAAATATTGCATGTTGTCTGGAGAATTAGAGTATATAAATGTAAAATCATGTTTAAAAATCATATTAATAATATTTTTACACTGTATATTCACACGCTTTGCTTGTACAATGTTTAGATTATAAACTGGCATGTTGACTGGTCGATGCGCTGATGGTCAACACATTTTATCACTTATCCTGATTGACAGACCTGTTTAGCATGTTGATTGGTCGAAGCGCTGATGAGTTAATCGATAATCCTGATTGACAGCTCTGTTACGCAATACCGAACGCGCGTTCGCTTTCTGGGACCGCTACTGAATTTGGGGTTCGCTTTCAGCGTTCGCTCTGGGTCCGCTCTGGGTTCGCTGCGGGTTCGCTACGGGTGCGCTCCGGGTTCGCTCGGGGTCAGCACTAGCGGACCCCAAGCGAACCCGAAGCGAACCCAGAGAGCGAACCCGGGGTGCGCTCTGGGTTCGCTTTCTGTTAGGTTGTGTCTGGTCGGTACTGTAATTCTCCGACTTAAGAAAACTGATTTTTTTCCCTTCTATCAGAAGATGTCCATGTAGGTGGACCGTGAGTTTTGATTGAATTGGATTACATACTATGCAGAAAGGATAAGTTTTAAAAAATGGCATGAAAATGATTTAAATTATAAGTTATATCCATGTTTCCATTTGTTAATCTCTAAAATCAACAATTATTTTATAAATCAATTATATGCAGAAATTATAAAAATAATTAAAAGTAAGCTCCAGAGATAAACACTGATGAACGAATCCCCGACAATCATTTCGTGTACATGTACACCGACTAAATATTTATGTAAGCATTGAGAATTGTTTATTTATTTATTTGTAAAAATATATATTTTTGATCTTTTGATTTTAAAAATATCTTGACCATAATTAGCAGTACACAAAATTAAAATCAGAGAAAAAATCCTTAAACATCTTAGTACGGTTTATTAAAAAAAATCACGCTATTTGACGAGAACACAATATTGCACGACTTACTATATTGCTTATTTCCAAGCGATAATTAGTTCGTACTGCTCTCAATTATGTAAATCGCGCTTCATTTATTTTATTTGGATTAAAAAAAAACAGAGGAGCGAAATGCTTGTATAACAAATAACATTCTGATAAAATCTTACAAAACGAAATTTACACGTTTCTTAACGCACGATCACGCACGATTAAAACCGCAAACGATCGAGTCTGATACACGCACGATCTCGCACGTTACACGAACGATCACGCACGTTACACGAACGATTCTACACGATTGGTTTGTCAACAATAACGTTGCAGCCACTGTAAAACCTGTTTTTGGATTATTCAGTAACCGATTTCAGCTAGATGGAACTATTCACTTATAGTTCCTCGTGCCAATATTTCTGAAAGATATTAATAAGACATTGAATAGTAAATTTTGGACGTTAAAAGTGTCATAATACAGAGGGCTTTGCTTACATATTGAATAACGCAAGTTAGCGCGTAACGAAAAAAAAAATGTTTGCATAGCCGTCCGTGTTATGACACGTTGTACATCCAAAATTCAAAAGAAACATTCTTAAAAAAAACACTGAAAAAAGATCATTATTCCTTTCTTAAAATACTAAAATACTAAGTGACCATTTGCAATGTCACGTACATGTAATCAATACTTATATGAGGGGACTATTAAAAAAAAAACTTGCGACAGTTTTATTTCTGTTTATTCAGATTACAGGTAAAAAAAATAAGAAAGAAATAGTACACACGATAGAGAGGAGAGGTAATAGTCCATACGCGATAAGAAGAATGTTATTTGAAATCAAAATCCGTCTTTAAATAGTCTTTCCTGTCAATTTCAAGCCAATTATTTTTTTAAAAAGCTTTAGCCATATCTTGCAATTGAGCAAGGTTGATTACTTTCCTCGTTATGTTGACCGCATCGCTGACGGAGAGAGCAATTTTGGCAACCAGAGCAGCACCCCCGGTGGCAAATGCAGCAATAATCAAAGCGGTGATTTCTGCTATAGCTCTTGCATACTCCCACCATCTCATTTCCTTAAAAGCCATTTTAATGATTTTCCAGAAAATGCCAAGGGAATTGGTTTCCTTTACTAGATTGAAAATAGCTTTTGCTTTATCCAGGGCACTTCCATTCTTCCAGGACCTAAGGAATGTATTTATGATTCGTTGGAAAGCAGGCTGTTTCATTGCAGGCATGACTTCTGTGATGATCTTTCGCAAGACGGACTCTTTAATGTGGACTTTAATACCAATGCAGCCCACGACAAATAATACGCATTCAACAACAAGACTAACGATTTGGACTGTCGATGAATCTGTGATGCTTGCCAGCGAGGTCAGTTGGACAGATTCAAGGAATTTTTGGCCTCCGCGCTGTACAGTTGCTTCTGATCCCTTGATGTCCATTGTATATGTCTCTTGGTCGACATATCCAGATATCATCTTAAAATCATCATCCGACAGAAGTGTTTTCATCTTCCCAAAAACTTCTTCATCTGGCATTTCTGAAATATCGCCAAGGGCGTTGGTCAACTGAATTTCCTTTGAGACGCATTTTCTCATAATATCATCAATCTCTTTTCGCTCGGCCTCTGACTTTTCCTTTAGAGAAGGTTCAACCATATCAAGGATGTCTTTCGCCAATAGCATCACATCGTCAACGTTTGCTACAAAGATGAAACAATGCGTAAAACCATGTTGCTTGACATTCATGTAAATACATTTTTTTTTTCTGTATACATTTATATCTCTCAATCTGTCTTCGATATCTGAGCACCACTAGTGCATGTTCAAAAGGAAGCATACCTTGGGATGGAACAGCCATTTTCTTTCGTTGGCGATTGGATCCTGAAAAACTTAAAAAGAAATAGGTCTTTGTTATTTATTGTCTGGAAATGGCATTGCTTAAGAGATGTATTTAAGGAAATAATAATTCACACAAAACTTAAAAACATTCCTTATATTTACATTTTACATGTTCAAAAGCAACAATATTATGCTCAATATTTGAATTTCTTGCTGCCCTATATCGTTACATTTTTATTTACGTGTCTGTAGCCTCATTGTGACGTCACTTTAGGAGTTTCACCGTGTATATTTCTACGCGTGAGTCTACACAAAAATTACTTTCAAATCAATTTCACAGTTGGCTTAGTAGAAAAACACAGCATATATATATATATATATATATATATATATATATATATATATATATATATATATATATATATATATATATATATATATATATATATATATATATGCGCAGTCGATATGGTTTCCTGTGAAGTCGATATACCTATGAATTGACCTAATCAGAGGGCTACATTTGCTATATTATTTTTCTTTGGAAAGGAAAGAGACAAACAAATTCATTTTGTAGGAATCTGTAAGTTTTAAAAACTTTTCACCATTAAAAACACATCTTTGGTTTTTCCCTAAGTTTTTTTTAGCTGCTCAAGTCAAGTATATATATATATATATATATATATATATATATATATATATATATATATATATATATATATATATATATATATCTATATCTATATCTATATATATATATATATATATATATATATATATATATATATATATATATATATATATGTGTGTGTGTGTGTGTGTGTGTGTGTGTGTGTGTGTATTTCAACGATCACATAATCGGCTTTTATCGGTTTTACCACATTTGATTTAATTAAACATTAGAAAATGTTTAGTCTACATTGAGTACAAGCGGAAATAAATTTTTGTAAGGTGAAGCTGACGGAAGTTAATTAAAATATTTCTGAAAATAAACAAGTTTGAATAATTTGATACCAATGATTTTATAGTCTCACATATACGTTACGTTCAAATTAAAGAGGTACAGTATTATTGTAAATTTAATCAACTATCAATGTGTGGAAAACATAAAAAATTAGTTCAAAATTAAATACCTTGTCAATGGAAACTAAAGGTTGAGGTTCTTCTCAGTGGACTGGAGTGCTGGATTGTCCTCGGAAACAGGTATTTATAGTTTAGAGGAAACAAACAACTGCCGGATCAAGGAACTATATATACAGGAGATAAATTTGCAATACCCGATAATTCCTAATTCTTTACCAATTAATAGGATTTCACATTGCTAACATATGCAGAAATATTTCTTGTATCTACATACGATTATGATAACTTAAAAATTGACTAAAGGATAATAAATAGGTGCAGTAAACACAGTTAATAAGTTAGAAAAACAAAGGTTAACCACATTAAGTCACACACATATCAAATCAAAGAGAAATCTAGAATCTCTTAATTATGAGAAAATAGTGTCATAAATACATTATAAATTAACTTGTGATTATGAAATAATTATCTCGTAATAAAAAGATATTCTGTTATGACCGGGAAATTATTTTTTTTCTGCCCGAATCTGCAGAGAATTATCAGAGATTGGGTAAAATGTTGCTATATTTTGTTTTTAATCCACGAAGGCGAAATGAACAATTTGAAATTATGAATTCTTAAATTCGTATAGGAGTCTGTTGAAATGAATAAATAAATTTGTAATAAAATTTAAAAAAATTTTACAGTTAAAAAAAATCCAATCCAATCCAATTTCTTTTAAACATATTTCATTATATATATTACATATTTCATATATTCGTTAAATCGAATTTAAAAATTGATAATTTTCTGAATGGGTTGCCGTGTCTTTATCAATATAATTGAATCATATATTTATCATCTTTTTTTCCATATCACAAATGCCTCAATATTAATGAGAGAGAGAGAGAGAGAGAGAGAGAGAGAGAGAGAGAGGGAGGGAGGGAGTTTTCATGATTCCTTGGATCTCTCAAATCTCATTTACTTCATTCGAGTATTATTTACGAATAAAATTAAAATTTACTTCTACACGGAGCATCCACTTTTTTTTAAATGAATCACACGAATTATTTATTTTTATTGTTTATTTGTATCTTCTTGCTTGTGTGTGTGTGTGTGTGTGTGTGTATGAGTGTTTTCTTTGTGACTTTTTTTTAAAATGGTATTTTACTTTGTTTTATTTTGAAATTCTTTTTATTGCAAGCATTGTTTTAAATACATGCAGTTGTACCTTTTTAAGAACTAAATCATTACCATTTATAGGATTGACTATATAAATTATTTTGTTTATTGAGAAATTAATCTAAAAAAAACGAATCGCACACTTTATGAAAGTGTGAAATTCGTTTTTTAGATTCATTTCTCGATGAACAATAAAATTTATTAGTCAATGCTTATAATTCAATTTCAGTGAAAAACACGTTACTTTTCATGTACATACTCATTATTTAGCTAACTCAAAAAATTGTGCACGAAATTTACACGCCGACAGCTGCGTAGAAATATATCGATCGGAAAATTACACGATTCTCGGGAGCGGATCTAAAAGCCTGCAGTACACAAGGCGGGTATACTTTTCCTTTAACAGCTATAAAAAATTAAGAATTCCCCTTCTTGTTATATTGTCTTCATAATAATTTACTGAGACATCGATTAGGTAAGTTATGAAAATTTGCACGTGCAATTTTAAAAGCGATTACAACATAAAGCAGGCAAACACTTGCTTTAATTTGTTGTCAGTAAGCAAACGGTCAACGGTGACACGTCGAGTAGAGTGCAATGGAGTATTAAAAAGAAAAAACCTCAGGTTAAAAAAAATCTAGAAATAAGCTTGTTCGCTCCGCTTCAATGTATTTTGACTGATTTAGGACCTTTCAATTTTTCACGGTTTTCCGCAATTTTTTTTTCTAAACGTTTGCAGATATTGAGCTGAGTTTTGGTATGTGACTTTACCTTGATGAGTTATAGATGAAGTTTGCATTACGTTGTGCTTCATTGATTTTTAACGGAATCATGGCATTTTCAACTTTAACGGGAACCAGATTACACTTGCCGGTAGGGGACTAGTATTGCTAATGCAATACTCTCAGAATTCTTGTTGTTTTTATTATTGTTTTTATAGACACAACCTTTATAAATTCATTCAGTGGGCACCTATAATAAGATACTACTTAAAAGTAAACGGAGAGATATGCTTGAATGGAATAAAGGTTAACTCATGCAGTAAAGAAAAAAATATTATGGACTAATTTTATAAACAACTTTATATTTACATTTTCTTTCCTTCATGTCATGAAGAATTTGTTTCTCGATCAATTAATGTCCATTTGTCAATTATTCATTAGGATTTAACTAACTTAGTAGAACAGTGATATAGTATTATATTCACACTAGACAATGATGTGAAATTGAGTCGGGAAACAGCAAGAAGCCTGGCCTATTATTAAGGATGGTTAATTATCGTTTAAAAAAAAAGAAAAGTGCAGATAGAATGAAACGGAATTCTATGCAAGTTTTAAAGTTAAATCATATGTATGTGATTAGACAAGTATTTCAATACCCATCATTAAATTAAAATGGAATGTGATTGTAAAAATGTATTTAAAAAATTATTTAAAAAATGCATAAAGCTACCTAAAATTTTTGTCATCTACATGTATGAAAGTTCCTGATTTTTTTTTGTTCAAGCGGTAATAACTTCGTACATGATTCAAGTTAAGGCATGGGCCTCTCTTTGCGAATGAGCGAATTAAAAAATTTAGGAAGGATATTATTTTAGACAAAGACTCACTTTGTTTTTCCTACTATAAGACTCACTTTGTTTTACATACTAAATTCCAAAGATATTATAGCTAAAACATAGAGTGTTTTAATATTATGACGTCCTCATTCCTTTTTTTCGCAGTCATAAAGAGCATAAACAAGGGCTAATCTTTTAAAACTTACAGAAACCTGATATAAGAAGAAAAATAAAAATTTACAAGTATTAGCTTTCCTAAAAAGCTTGTCTGACTTCAGCAAATTTATTTTTACGCAATGAATCAGGAAAAGATAATTCCAGTGTAATCAACATGACTTTGAGTCATGAAATGAATTCTTTTGAGCACTAAGAAAAAAAAAATCAATTCAGAAACTTATTCTATCAGAGACGTGGTTCTATATACACTATATTACCTTTAAATTCCGGCTTTTTTCATGGACATAGGAACGGGGAAGGGGGGGGGGGGGGTTGAAGACCGTTAGCTCAATAATTTTGCCCATCTATAACATAGCTACTTTATGCTTGTGTCCCCTTAATCATGTAAATATTAACTTCGGATAATTTTTTTCATGCTCGATAAGGAATTTTTCCTTGATTGTGTCCACCAGAAACTGAAATTTATTCCAACGGGCCTGTCAATGAATAGAAAGATATAACCAGTGCTTTTGAAAGAAAAAGTTACAACACATAAAAATCATAACATCAATTGGTGAACAATTTTGATAATTAAAAAATGTCTTATTGAGAAAAAAAAAATAAACGGGTTTCAAATGAGCTAATATCTTTGCATTTAATTTAAAGCAAAAGAATATTTAACATCTATCCTTCACTTTGATATTTTTTTTAACTATGGATAAATCAAAAGTCTGCAAGTTATGAATATGTGTAGATTTATAAAGGCAGAGGGACATAGTGTATGCATTGAAAATAAACATCCATTAGTTAATCTGATAAAGACAATCGGCAAGTGTTGACATGACCAGCTTCATTTCTTCTGTTTTGCTGGACAGGAATGAGGCAATTTTCGAGAATGGCCAAATGCCATGTAACCTGTAATGTATTTATAATGTGATAATAATGACATCAGCTCCGTTTGGGTGTTTAGCATGTTTCTTTTACTCCACATGCTCTCCAATTGATAGTTAAGATAGTATGAAGTTTCCAAGATCAAGTTATCACAAGAATTCTATTGAACGACTTGAC